TTGGATAATAATAATAATAATAATAAAATTATATAATTTTAATAAAAAAATTTAATTGCTCAACTCATCTTTGTAACCGATTAATTATAATAAAATATTTATTATTATTATTATTATTATTATTATTATTGCCTTTTTGTTTAATTTTTTAATTTTGCCATTAGTAAAATTTTCTGCAAAAAAATACCACCATTTATAAGCCTTTTTTGATTTTTACACTGTAAAAAAAAAAAATAAATATTGTTTATTAGTATTAATTACGTTTGTAACCAAAAACCATTGCTTCAAACCCATCCAAAACTTGCTCGTCCATCTAAAGAGAGAAAAAAAAAAAAAAAAGTTCAATAGTAATCCAATAACCTAACATAAAAAAAAAAAAAGTAAAAGTTCAGGATGATTTGATGTAATTTTAAACCTGAAAAAAAAAAAAAAAAAATTATGTAATTGCCTGAATTGAAAAAAAAGAAGTGCACCACAAAGGTCATTTAAAATTGTAAATCTAGGTTAGCCTAAAAACATAATAAACGTTAAATTAAATAATTAATAATAATTCAACAATTAAGGTTTATACCGAAGAATCAAATGCAATTTATAAAAACATACGATGATAAATTTAAGTAATCTCGTATTTTTTATTCTGCTGTAACCCCCGTGTGCACCATCTTTATTACTAAATAAACAATTAATTTTTTTATTCTAAATGAAATTGGTTAATTTTTTTTATAGTAAATAATATTTTTCCATCAACTTTCAATAAAGCCGGCGGGCAAATGTGTTATATCACAGTGTAATCGGCTATGACCTGTTGCAATATCTTTACAATTGATACAACCAGTCATATATCTTCTTCTTACATATTTTTATAACGTTCAATAATATTTAAAATTCTTATTTTTTTTTTAAATATAATAAAAAATTTATTATATAAAAAAAAAAAATTCCCGAGCATGCAACTGATTTTATGTCTTAAACCTATAAACAAATTCCAATTGAGAAATATACATTTTATCATTAACTGATAATAATAATTGACGCGGTAGCAATATGCATAAGATGAAAATTATCTAACATTATTTTACACTTTTATTTGTATGAATCTTTTTTTTAAAAAATTAAAGTAAAATAAAAACGGGTTATTGAACTTAAAAAAAAAAAAAAAAAAATTTTTTTTAAAATTACAACATTTCTTTAAGAAAAAAAAAAAAAAAGTCTACATTGATTACGCCAAAAAAAAAAAAAAAAAATGAAAATAAAAATAAAAATTAAGTAAATGATTACAGGAAAGAAGTTTTACAGCAAGTTGTTTTTTTTTTTTTTTGAAAACTGGATTTCTTCCCAAAAAAAAAAAAAAAAAAACAAAACTTTCCCTTGATAGTTGAATAATAATCATCTATCTACTTCAAATCCCCCCGACTTACTTTCGCACAACTTACAAGAATATCACTTGGGGTGTGAATCAACCTTTTTATAAAACCTTTTTTTTTTTTTTTTTTTTTTAATTTAAATTATTATTTTATGAATTATCGTTAAAAAAATTATTTCTTTTTTTTTTTTAAAAAATTACAATTGATAATTAATTGTCAAGGTAATCAAAAATAAATTTTTCTTTCCATTTCAATAAAAAAAAAAAAAAATTTTTTTTAAAAGCTTGATTGAAAAAAATATTAATAACATGAAGCGTTTTGTAATTAATATCAAACTGGAAACAAAATCAATGTAAATTTTTTCAATGTCATAACATTCAATAAAAATTCCATTTGGTTAAATTAGGTTATAATAATATATATAAAAACTTATAACGCGGAATTATACAATATTATTAAAAAAAAATATTCTTTTATGGAATTCTGTAAGCCATTTTTAACGAATTTAAAGTATTTATTTTATTTTATTTTCCTCTACTTGAAATCCCTAAAAAACCATCTCCTTTAAAAAATTTAAAAAAAAAAAAAGATTGTAAAGTCAAGACCGTTTACACCTTGGAACTCTTGGAAAAAAAAAACAATAATTAATCAACAAATAAAAATATTTCTAAGACAAACAAATATTAATAATCCTGATGGCATAATAAGTAATAAAAAAAAATTTATTTTTCGTTTTATTAAACTTCAATAAATTTTTTTAACACTTCAAGTTGCGATTATCAACCTTCACAATAATTTCTTTCGACTAATTCCTCAAAATTCCTAAAAAAAAATTTACATACTTGTTACTGAAAAACCAAAAAAAAATTATACTTTTTTACAATAATTTAAAAAGAAACCTTGAAAATTTTTTTTTTGTACGTAAATAATTTAAAATAGATCATAAATGAAACCTTTATACTCTTACTTTTTATTTTTTTTATTAAATAACAAACCGGATTTTAATAAAAGACGAATTATCAAATAACAACAAAAATTTAATAAAAAAAAAATTTAGTTTATGTGGAATAGAAAAAATGAATGAAGCTAACAAATCCCAATCATTTAAATCCTACCATTTAAAATTTTTTTTTCCTTTTAAGTTTAAGGCCTCAACACTTAAATACATTTTCAAAAACAAAGTTATAAATATATGAATAGTTATTTAAAATATAAATAATTTTAAACAAATTTTATTTATTAAATAGTTTAAATAAAATTATTAAAAATCTGTTGCAGATAGCAGCAATTTGCAGAGAAGGTTTGGTAAAAATAAATCATTAACATATGGAATTTTGAAAATTTCATAAAATTTTCTGACTAAACAAATATTTTAAGATATTAATTTAAAAATAAATAAATTTCATTTATTTATTTTTAAATTATCATAAATTATAATTTTTTTCAAAAAAAAAAAATTTATTTGAAATTTAAAAACAACTTTTAAGTTATTCTTTCCTGCTTATTATGAAATTTATGTAATATTAATTTTAAAAATTGTAAAATTAAATTTAAAAAAAAATTTTAAAAAGAAAGTCATTCAGTAATGCTCTCTAATAAAAAAAAAAAAAGAAACAAATATATATGCATACATTTAAGACACTGAATTAACTATTATTGATGAACACAATTATTTACTTAATTTAATTATTGGTGAGTTAATTTGAATTTATTAACCCGATAATTTTTATGAATTTTGCAGATCAGAGATTTGTAATAACAATATTTGAAGGATATATTAAACAGACATCTAAAATTTGAACGAAAACTAAAAGTTGAACACTCTAAATATAATTCCTTGATATTCAAGTTAAACGATAGAATTATACAAATTAATTTTTATAAACCCTCTCACAAATTTAAGGCATGATTAATCATATGTTACAACCAATACATGGTTTAATAATAATAATTCGATCTTAAGATGATTTTGAACCATAATTACAGTATTATTTGGACAACAATTCAATATTACAATGCAGTTGCATTATATAGTTAAAAAATACATTTACTCAACAATAAAATCTTGTTTTTAAAACAATTTAAAAAATTATATTTTATAAATACCTTAGATTTTTCATCATCCTGAAAATTTCTTCTAAACGATATATGTCTCTGGGTGCAAATTTGAAAAGAAAAAACTATTTCTGCATCATTTTCTTCGGTAACAACCTTCAATATATTTCATCCTATTTCCTTTATCACTACTTCAAAACAAGCGAGTAAAATCTGATGCCATTGGGAGAACTGTTTGACTCAGTTGCATTAAACGATAAATGTTTGGCTGAAAGAAACAGAAATCAATACTTTCTATGAAATCCCATACATAAACATTCACGTTTATAAATAACAATTATTTTCTTTCTCTTATTCAAAGCTTTGAAATTTTTCATAATTTTGATTAATGGGTAGCTTACTTTGAATCCATGCAGGTCTTGACCCATGCTATTTAAACCAAAGTTGTGCATTATTTTCAAATAACCTTCAGTCGTGCATAAAATAACTTTTGATACATCAGAGGTCGACGTCTTCTTATAAATAAAAAGCAAACCATCTTGTAAAAAATATTAAATATTTTTGACCCAATTTGAATGACCTTTCAAAGTTCTGACTTATTTGTATATGTTTCCAGCATCCCAGAGTGCGACAGTAAAATCGTTACAAGCAAGTCGCGAACGATCTCGAATTTATAAACCTTATACAGTTCACGCAATCCAAATGAGCATTTTCTACTGTGTTTATTCTTTTGTGAGTAATAGAACCGAAAAACAAATTTTAAATTTATTGTTGTCATATATTTTGTCGCCATTTTCACTTAAAAACGTAAACGCCGCGAGATATTATTTGAATTCGATAATAAATTCGTGCTACAACACGCTTGAGAGAATTGTTTCTAAAAATTCATAAATCTCGCTGAGTGCGAGACGCGCGTTTTATCGCGAGATTTTTTGATCGCAATTGTCGTCGGCTACCGAGAAAACGTTTATGGCTCACCTGAAAATTGACCGAATAGTTTTGAAATTTTAAATTCTGCCGCATTTGTTTTTTTACGTGACCCGTTCTGTAAATTGTAAACCAGTGTAAGTTAATAAATATTTCAAAATTAATTATTATGGACTTTGACGAATATGAATCGCTTCCTACGAAAAATTTTGCAGTCCATATGACAGCAGGAGCTATTGCGGGTGTTCTGGAGCATTGCGTTATGTATCCTTTCGATTCAGTTAAGGTAAAATCATATTTTTTGTTTAGCACAGGTCTTGTCAGTTTGAAAATCGTCTGCCTGGAGAAAACTAAGACCGTTTGGATTCCTAACTTTCATAATTTTCGATCGGGTTCTTTAAAATTGTTCCGTCATGGCAATGTGAAAATTTTTTTTTTTTTCTTATTTATCTCATTACAGCGGTGTCGCAATTTTTCGTTCGTCGATTTAATTTTCCTTAAGGCGACCCTAAAACAAATTAAACGTTTTACGTTATTATAGTTTGTCATTCATTTCAATTATATATACAGATATTAATATACGTACGTGTTTTATCGAGCTCTTTCGCGGGATTTTAACCTGCATTTCAGTCTCGACCTCCTCCTGAGCCAAAACCATCAGGTTTATACTGGCGAGGGTGAGAATCCCCCCCGAGGAAAATTCTGCGAACTGCTACAATCACTCATCTTTCGAGAGACAGCTGCTACCACCGATTCTGCTTCTTCCGCAGAGTCTGCGAGTTTCCGGAGAGAGAGGGAGATAGATGTAGAGGTCCGTGGTCGCGAATCCCGTTGAACATTTTCTATATTTTGGATCAAGTACCCAGTCTTACTCCCTCGAACAAGGGTCGACGCATCCTCAATGCTTTGAAAAGGTGTTAGGTCTGTTCTTGCTGGATGAGCTGAAATTAAACTCCCACTTTCAGGATTTGAGCTCACGCCGCTTAACTCAGTGACTGAAAACATGTTTGAACAATAAAATTTTCTCTATTCACATTATACAATTGTGTTAATTTTTTTTTTGCAGACTAGAATGCAAAGTTTATCTCCTCAAGTAAATTACAGTAATCCTTTGCAAGGATTAACATTGGTCGTGAGGCAGGAAGGAATGTTTAGGCTTTTCAGAGGTAAATTTACATTTTCTCCTTGTTAAATCATAGTAAAATTTATTAATTTATTATTAATATAAAAAGTTATATAAATATTCAAGATGAATCTTATAGAAGGCAGGAAATTAAAAATCTGTTAAAAGAAAACTTGAGAATTTATTTTTAAGTATTTGTGTGTGTGTGTGTGGGGGGGGAGTAGATTTACCATTCAGTTTTTTTGGTTTTTAACTATAAAAATAAGTCATTCATGTAAAATGACATGGTATAGTTTAAATTAAGTAATAATAGTAAATAATTAGTAATTAATAATTAATATAGTAATATTAGCTATTAGTAACTATAGTAATTAATTAAAGGTTAATTTACAGACAAGCTTTAAGTTTAATTTGAAAAAAGAGTACATTAATTTAATTTGATCCTATTTACTATTTATTTTTTTTTGTGGGGATTAATAAAGAAAACATGTGTTATATATTGTCAACTAAAAATACATATAATTAAACATAGTCTTGTCTCTGTCTAACACACAAGTTTATTTTAATGGATTCTTATAAGTAAATAGTAAGTTTTTTTGTTTCTGTAAAAATTTTTAAAATACATATGTTAAATTTGATGAATAATTTTTTTTTTACAAAATGGTTGGCAGCCTTTGATTATTATTATTTTTTTTTTGTTTTTGATAAATATTATATATATTCCTTATATATTCATTTATAATTTTTTATTTTTATTTTTTTAAGAAAAACATGAAGGATTCAAATTTGAGTTTGGATGAAGACGTTGATATTGATGTTGATACAATAAATTTAACTTCTGATGATAATAAAACGGAATCATTAGTAATTGAAGAACGATTAAATAAAAACCAATTGGAAGAGATTTATAAAATTTTCAAAAATGTGCCGAGGTAAAAATTAACGTAAATTATTTTTTATTAAAGTAAAACGTTAGTTTTGTCTATATTTTCAATTGTGATGTATATCACAATTGCTTTAAGCCAATGATAAATTTATTTAAATAAAAATGCAATAATTTTTAATTATACATATATATATATATATATATTTCGAACGATTGGCTTCTAATAATGATGAGTTAATTTTACATTCATATTTTTTTTATAATGAACGTTTAAAATAATTTTAATTTTTCCGTGTCATCTCTTGTTCGTAATGAATTATTTAAAGTACAAAACCGTTATAATATTTATTAATTATCAATTTGTCAGAATTTGTTTTTCTATTTGTCGGCCGTAAACTGAAATTTAATATTTTAAAATTAATATTATGAACCTACTGATAACTTACATAAACATATCTATTTTATCGTTTTAGAATCGGAATAAAGAAAGCAGAGTTTAAAAATCGCGTATTAGCTAGGTTTAAAATTAATATAACCGATGAAGAACTTGATCATTTATTTACAAAACTTGATTTTATGAAAAGTGATCATATAAGTTGGGACGAATTTGTGACATATTTAATTTTAGAACTTGAAAATAAAAGTAGGGATACAGTTAAATCGGTTAGCATAGAAAATCCCATAGTTGACGAACCTCGAATAATTAATTCCGGTCATAGAAGTTCAATTATTCATATTGCATTTTCACCTTCTGTACGATTAAACGGCACCATAGATCACGAAGATGGAAAATATATTTCTATGAGCAAAGATGGTTTTATTAATTTTTGGAGTTTGGACTTGAAACTTCTTAGATCTTATAGAGATAAATCATTATACGCTTCCACGAGGGGTACTTGGGTCGTTAATTTTGCTTGTCTTCCCGATGTGAATGTTCTGGTGACAAGTTCTACCGAAAGAGAACTTAGATTTTATGACACCACCAGTAAAAGATTTAATTTAATAATAGTATTTGTAAGCATGCCGTTTTGCGTGAATCATATGTTTTATCATTTTTCCGAAAATTTGAAGGAAGAATCTATTCTAGTTTGTGGAGATCTCGGTGGAAGTATTAGGGTTATTCAATTTTCGAAAGAAGATAAAGGACCATTTAAACAAAAAATCGGAGTGGATTTCCTAGTTTTAAAATGGGACCATATAATGAGAGGAAAACTTCCCGGTATGAAAGCGTTCAATATATTAGATGTTCACACAGATTGGGTGAGACAAGTTTCATATTATAAACTCTTGGGTTCCATTGTTTCTTGTTCCACTTCGCAAAATGCTATGTTTGTCGGTGATCATCACGGATCCAAGACAAGTTATAATTTTTTCCTCAAACGAGGTATTTTATATTAATTTTTTTTTATTTATTTATCGTTTTAAAAATGTTTATATGAACTGAATAAAACAAACGTATATACGTATATAAATAATCTTTGAAATGCATTAATTTAATTTGAGGTATCGAAACATTTTGTCTGAGTGAAGATAGTCCTTTGATCGTCACCGGAAGTTTAGATTGTATTTTAAGACTATGGAATCCGTTCATTACTAACAAGCCTATATCCCTTTTAAGAGGTCATCATGCCAGCATCGTTAAAATATTTCTTCAAGATGAGGGAAGGAAAATATTTTCATTAGACAAAAACAGATTTCTTAAAGTTTGGGAAAGTTCTTCTCAAACTTGTATTCAAACTTATTCCGGTTTCACTTTTGAATGCAGCCCTATGGAGGAATTTAGTGCATATTACAATGATAAAAATCAAACTTTTATAGTTGGCGGTTTTAAGATAGCTTCCACGACTTGTGGTCGACTTGTAGACGAACTGAGATCAGATGGGAAAACTCATTGCGGGCCGGTATCGATAGTTTTATATAATAAACTTTTTAAATGTGCCATAACATGTGGAATGGATTCTAATATAGTTATATGGGATTTATGGACTAACAGTTCTAAAGCGTGTATACGAAAAGCTCATTTAAAAGTTTCGATGGGTATAACAACAACTCTTCCAATTACGGCGGCAACATTTGATCCACCTCACCAATATCTCTTAACCGGTAGAGAAAAAAAAATATTTTAATAATTATTAATGAAAATTTTATGGTTTCACAAATGGTTCTTTGTAGATTTATTAAAAAAAAAAATTTATATATTTTATTTTAGGTTCAAGTGACGGAAGCATCAAAATGTGGGATTTTAAAATAGGAATCTGCTTGAAAAATTTAAGTGTTGGTAAAAATAATGAAGTAACTAAATTAATTTGGTTAAAAAATCGTATTTTAGCTGTCGGTTGGAATTGCCGTGTTGTAGAATTTGCTGATTCTTTGAGTGGTAAAGTTTTTGTTAGTAAAGCTTGGGAACTTAGACATACAAGTGATATATTGGCTGCTGATTATAGGTAACGTAAACTTTAATTTTGTCTAATTTTCTTATTGACTTTTCGATCGAAACTTTTCTAAATTAGTCCGTAAAAATGTATTAAAATGAAAATATAAGATTAAAAATTATACATACACGCTTATTCACATTTTATTCGCTTTTTGTTAAAATTTGTTAAATTTTTCAGGCCAGGTCAGGCTCTTGCCACAGGTACTTTTAACGGAGATTTAATTTTTTGGAGGCTGGAAACAGGTCAATCGTATAAAAGGTACAACGTGACCTATCCAACGGGGCTCCTAAAATTAGAATTCATAAAAGATAAAACGGAGAAAAAAGGAGATGGAGTTAATTATTTAAATAAAAGTTCGAGAAATTCATCCAGGGGAAAAAAAGAAAGAAATAATAATAATATATCAGTAAATGAGGATAATAAAAAATCCATATTTGCTGCCAAAGTAATAAAACCTCCCGTTCGGAATCTTTTGGTAGAAAAAGGGAATCCATCTATGGAACGAAATCTAGCCATACATTGCCTGATTTTTTTGAGAAAACGCGAAATGCTTCCTGATCAGGGTACTTTATTGACAGCTACTGAAAACGGCATGATTCAAGTAAATAACTATATTATATTTGAATTTCATGTCGGTTATTTTTAAATTTTCAAGTCCCTTTTTTTTTTTTTGTGGAATTCAGGTATGGTCACATCATCCCAGTGGCAGTTTCATCACTGCGTTTCGAGCAGTTCACATAGAAAAAGATTATGTCATTTGCATGTTAACCGATACCGAAAATGAATTTCTTTTTACCGGAACCGTTTTCGGTTATATAAAAATATGGTTGATGAAAAATTATTGTTTAAGTGCGAATACGCAAATTCACATATCGATGCCTCTGTATAGATTACAATTTCCTTTTTTAATAAATGATCGTATAAGAACGAGAGCAAAAGCCGCTCTTAAAAATCAACCTTCTCCAATTTTACTTTCATCCTACAAGGGACACACAAAAGCCATCCTTCAATTTGAATATATTCAAGAATCAAAAATACTTTTATCTGCGAGCGCTGACAAAACAGTTAGAGTATGGACTCTTTCAGGCCGTTACATTGGTATTTCATTTATATTTAGATATAAATAGTTATATATAAAAAAAAATATTTACAAGATAAAATTTTCATATATATATATAATATGAATTTTTAAGAATTTTTTTTTTTTGTAGGTTGTCTCGGTCAGAACAAGCCCTGGTTAAAATTAGAATTAGGAGTTGATCCAGAAAAGACGAACGGAAGCGCGGATTTTAGGATACCCCCAGATTTAATTAGAAGCGGATCTTATACCACATTAAAAGTATTCAAAGGAGCTCCTCCCATAGTTACAAAGAAGTACGATGTCGAAACTGATTTTATCATTTCCGAGGAAGACAGAAAGTATGGATTGTACGGTAAAAGATTAGAAATTCCACGATTGGGTAACAATTATAATTTCCCCCGAAAACAAAGTCGAAAAAGAAGATTGGATCCATTGGATGAAACTACGAGTTACATACCCGTTTTTAGACATTTAATAATGGCACCTTGGAAACCAGTTTCCAGAGTTCCTACTCCCGAATGCATTCGTCAAGTTACAACTAAAAGCAACAGAGCTGTTTCTAATGTTGAAAGCTCAAACGAATCTAACGCTTCATAAATTTTTACACAAATAAATATCAAATACAAAAAAAAGTTTCAATTTCTTTTTTCACTATTAACCTCAGTAAAATTTTTGATAATATTTCTGTGGTTTAGAACAGTTAAATATATATATACCCATTTTAAGATGGAAAGTGTCGAAATAAAAATTTAAATTTTAAAATAAAATAAAATAATACTACTTACGTATAAATTAAAAAATTGAGAATTTCACGTGATTGATTTTGATACGCGACGAAACAACATTTCATGCAATTTCCCCTAAAAAAAAAAAATTTTAACATTAACTTACCAATTGATGTCAGTCATTTAAAATAATAATAATAATAATTAAATACAAAATCTTACCTGATTGATATTATTATGAGGTAAATTCTTTTTAAATTCCGAATATTTAACGACAATTTAGCAATAATAAAATTATTAAGCATAACAATATTATTAAATGTTCACAAAGCAAATGTTAGGAGAAAAAAAATTATTTTTTTTTTATTGGCTTATCAGTTTACCATCGTGATTTCTTTTTTATCTATTAAATAATAAACTAAAATATTTAACATTTAATTGGGTCGTTAAATAATTTTTTATTTCTATCGTTTTTAACATCACATTTAATTAATTTAGTTTTAAATAAAACTCATTTGATAAAAAAAAATTTTTTTTAAATGTTAAATATTTCCTTTAAAGATTATACACATAATAAATCATTAAAAAAAAAAAATTTATAACATTTATTAAAGTATACAGTATTAATTACCAATTAAGTAAAAAGTAAATTGATATTATTAACTCCTTAGAATTTTAACAAATATATTTTAAAAAGCGGTGAAAATCCAAAAAAAAAAAAAAAAAAACTAATACATGATTGAAATGATTTTTTCAGGTATAATTCCTTATTATCCAAACTTTTGTATAATATATATATATATATACATAGGGAAAGAGTAGTAAGGAAAAAATATATATATAATAAACTATGAATAATGAAAAAAAAATTTTTTTTGTTATTATTAAACAGAAATTAACAGTTGGCATTAAGGTTAGTACCTCTCTCTCTAATCAATAGTATATATATATATATATATATATATATATATCAGAAAAAAATTTAATAAAACCTTTTTTGAAATTTTAACATTATCAAAAACTTATGATAATTACAAAAAAAAATAATTATTAATTTTATGAATATATTTTCATATACTTTTATTCTTAGCTATATTTTATTGTGTTTCTATATGTTAAAAAACTAAAATTTCCTGTTCAGCTAAAATGAATATGTAACTAAAAATTATTTTCAATAAAACCTGACATTGATAAACCTTAAAAAAAAAAAAAAAACAATATTTCATTGTTTTCAAGTAAAAATAGTTTTATAAGAAATTTTATAAACTTTAATAATCATTACCATTAAAATAATAATAATAATAAAGAAAAAAAAAAAAAGTAAAATTGATTAATGAAAGGTTTCAACTATTGTAATAACTGATATAATACTTATAATGACTTTTAAAAAAATATTTCATATTTTAAGCAACGAAGTAAAATTAATAAACATACAGGTTTCCATTTTTTTTTTTTTTTTTTTTTTGGAAAATATTTAAACCAAAAATTAATTATTTAAATATTACAGAATATTATTTATTTATACTTGCGGAAAAATTCAGCAAAATTCTACTTATTGGTATATTAAAAAAGTTAAAGAAATTATATTTAAAAAATTTAGTAATTCTTATAACAAAATCTAAGAGGTTTGCTTCACACAGGAGATTCATGTTGAAACATATTTTTCCTGAAAAAAAAATTAGTCATAAATGAATAAATACAAGAATTTCTAGGTATCGATAAAAAAAAAAAAAAAAAAAAAATTAATTAAAAAAAAACCTTAGCAACATCAGCATAATTATCTTTTGAAGCGCTTGATACTTCTTTCTTACTGGCTTCATCAAAATTTTCAACCAAAACAGGAACTTCATCATCTTCCTCAATTGTAGCTTTTCCAGTTGCTCCTCTGAAAGTAAATAAATTAATTTTTTCATTAAAAATAAATAATTACTACACTTATATAAAAGATCATTTGTTGTAATTTATTGGTAACATGCATTGACAAATATAATCATTTATAAAAAATAATGATTCATAAACAATATTAACAATGCATTAATTTTTCTTTCTTGAAAACAAAGGAATGAATGTTTAGAATTCAATTAAAATAAATTAATATATATTACAGGTGTATATATGTATGTATATATACATACATTTATATGTTAAATTTTTATATTTCAAGAAATATTATGTTTAGTATAATTATATATTGTTTTGTTAAATTTATCGATTCGTTTGAAATAAAAACTTACCCGGAAACAGAGGATGCTAGCCTTTTCAACTGTGTCAAACCTTCTGGCCCCAGCTGATTTAAAATACCGGGAAGCATATCAGTAATCTGTTTATTTTCGCCATGTCCTGTAATAGCAAAAGTATTCGCAGCCAAAGAAGCTTGGGCTTTCGGATTGTTAAAGTGAATCACAGTTCCATCATCTTTAATCATGTTTACTTCTTCAATGCCAGGAATCGTGTTCACCGATAATTTCTTCAGAGAACTTTGCAATTTTTTGTCATCGGTAGCCGCAGTTGCGTGAACGACTTTCTTTTTTCTGCGGGGTGTTCCTTTACCACCAATACGCACTTGAGCTTGTAATTTTTTAAGCTTGTCGGCATTCATGGTAGCGATTGGTATGATCAGAAGAAATTATAAAAATTCACAGTAAATCGAGAGCGTTTTATTAACGTTATTTGTCACTATTCACATTCAAATCCTTTTAATTACCGATGATATACTATTATAATAGTTTATACACGTGCGAGAGTGTAATTTAGTCCCAGAAGAAAAAATGGTGGACTTTCCGACATGAAGCCTCGTTCAGAATCTTTTGCGTTTGCGGCAAACTTGTAGCAAAAAAGAGTTTCCGGTAACGGTTGTACGACAAACTTCGAGTAAATAATAAATATTGTTCTATTTAAATTTAACTTATTACATATTTATATAAAATTTGTTAAAAATAATAAAAATTTTTTATACGTTCATTAATAAGATTAAAATTAGAAATTTTAATTTTATCTTTTAAAATAATTTGATTTGATTTTACGGATTAATCATCAATTAAATAATACTCATCAGTAAAAACTAAAATAAAATTAAAATTACTTTTATCAAACCTTTGCCTTATTCGTTAATCAATTAAACTAAATAAAATGATTGTTGCTTAATGTTTAATTTATATTTAGTGTCATTAAAAAAATTTCAGGCTCATTTAGTTTTTTTTTTTTTCAAAATTTTTTATTATTGTCAGCAAATTGCAAAGTGAAATGAAATGATAAACCTTTTAAAAATTATTCAATTTTTTTTTTTTTTTTTAACCTACGGTTGATAGTGCAAATGAATAAAAACTTATTGTGCATTATTTATTATAAAATAAATTGTAAAATATTAAATATTTTGAAAAATATATTTTTTTTTGGATTCAGTGTATTTACTTATGAATGGGATAATTGATTAATGTGTTTTTTTTGACAATTACAATTATAATTATATTTAATTGGGCATGTCTTTCAAATGAACTCTAAGAAGTCAATGTTGTTTATGTTTTAATTTACTCAACTTCCTAAATGTTCTTTATTTCAGTTGCAGATGAGAATTTTATTTCTTTCATTCTTTCTCTTGTTTATTACTAAACGAAAAGCAGCACAGTTTATTTATATTTATATATTTTTTTTTTTGAAATAAAATAATTTACAAAAAGTTGATAATAAAAATTAGTTAAATTTTTAAATTAAAAATGTAACACCTTATTTTTGCAGATTCTTTTCTCAATACATTAAATATTTCCTTTTTTTTTGTCACTTAGTAGTTTTTAACAATCGTTACTTTTACTTTTTAAAATCATGTTTAAAATAAAGCAAATATTTGTAATATAAAATATTTGCTCATTACAAAACCATCAATCTTGGAGCTATGTTCATAGACATAAGTTCTTGAAATAAGAGTTTTGCTGCATAAGGTAATCGAACTTGCGATATCTACATAAAAAAATAAATCAATTACACTTTTGTCTCATCATATAAATAAAAATGTTTAAATGTTATTAATAAATACTTTTTGAAATATAAAAATACCTGAGTTTTATTTTTACATCCTTTACATTCAAATGTGTTGTTTCTGAGATTGGCTATGGCAATGAGACCACAAAAATTACAAACGTGAATCCTATAAGGATCTGACACTTCAAACAATCTTTCCCTTAAAAACTGTGCAGCACCATGAGATATTTGACAATCTCTTTCCATTTCACCGAATCGAAGTCCTCCATCCCTTTATTATTTTTAGTATCACAATGATTAAATAAATCGAAATAAGTCAACATATAATATATGTAGTAAATTAATAACTTACCTGGCACGACCCTCCATAGGCTGACGAACTAATATTTGAACGGGACCCCTGGCCCTCGAATGAATTTTGTCATCCACCATGTGTTTCAAACGCTGATAGTAAGTTGGTCCCAGAAAAACTTGGGCATTTATTTTACGACCCGTGTGACCGTTGTACATTAATTCGTTACCTCTTAATTGATATCTAAAAAAAACAAAAACATAAATTTCAATTAATTAATTTTTCATACGATGAAGGCGGACAAAAAAAAAAAAAATTTTTTTTAATTTTTACCCGTATTCTTGCAAGAGTGTAGATATTTTTTGTACGTTAACTGCATCGTTAAAAGGTGTTGCGTCTCCTATTTCTCCCTTGTTTGATGAAACTTTACCTTGGAGACACTCGATCAAGTGACCTATGGTCATACGAGATGGAATAGCGTGAGGATTTATAATTATGTCGGGAGTTAAACCTTCACAAGTGAAAGGCATATCCTGAAATGCACAAATATTACATTTTTTTTACATGATTATGACCACCTGAATCTTGATATAAATCAATATGCAGCTTCAAACTTACTTCTTGTCTGTATTGTATTCCGCATGTACCCTTTTGACCGTGCCTAGACGCAAATTTATCGCCGATTTGAGGGATTCGAACGGATCTAACTCGAATTTTACAAAATTTGTATCCCTCGGAATTCAACGTAATCATTACTTGGTCGACGCAACCCGTTTCCGAATTTCTCAAAAACGTGCTCGCATCTCGCTTTGTATATCTTTTGGTAGCACCTTCCAACTGTTTTCGAAAAAAAATGTGAAAATTTCGGGAATATGATTTCATTATATTGAAAAAAAAAAAAAAAAAAAAATCATTATTATTATTATACCTCATCGTCGTTATCGGGTAAGGTAATAGTTTTTCCAATTATTACGTCATCTCCTGAAACCCTAACACCAGGAGCTATAATACCATCATCGTCTAACTTGTCATACATGGCATTTCTCATTCCTTGACATGTTTGCCTATTAGGTTTCTCAAACTGTTCTTCTTGGTCACCGATTCTTTTCGATTCTGAATCTTTGTACGAACGATAAAAAACGGATCTAAAATGAAATTTTCAATTTTATAATTATCGTACACCCGCGCACACCCACTCACACACATAAAAAATTAAAATTAATACCGAAAGTATCCTCGCTCGACTGCAGACGCATTCAAAATGACACTGTCTTCTTGATTGTAACCGGTGTAGCACAATATAGCAACTATAGAATTAATTCCAGCAGGTAGTTCTCGAAATCTTAAATATTCCATGGATCTTGTAATAACTAATGGTTTATGAGGATAAAATAAAACATGAGCCAGAGTATCCATTCTGACATGGTAATTTGTTATATAAACTCCCATGGCTTGTTTTCCCATGGCGCTTTGATATGTATTACGGGGACTTTGATTGTGATCAGGGAAAGGAATAATACTAGCACAAACTCCTAAAATCATGGCAGGATGAATTTCGCAATGAGTATAAGTTGTACAGTATGCATATTCTTTATCTTGCCTAAGATCGTCCGGTGACATGGCTATCATAACGGTTTCTTCTTCTAATGTATCTATATATTCTACTACTCCGCTCGCCACCAAAACTTGCCACCTTTTTTATTTTTAAAATTATTAAATATTAATTACAATAATTTAAAAAAAATAAATAAATCGTTTTTATTTTTATTAATTGATTACCCGAAATTGTTATATTCACGTTCTTTGAGCATGTTTACGTGGTTTTTCTTAAGTAAAAGTTGTCCTCCTTCAACTATTAACAATGGCCTGCAAATACGACCGGCATCGGTGTATATTCTTATCTCCCTGTCTCGAATATCTCTGATCATGGACACTTCCGAAACTATTATATCCATTTGCCTTCTAAGTTTTCTTAGGGTGGCCATTAACTGTTCCGGATCTCTGTGAATTCCAACCTGGAAAAAAAGTTTTAACATTAGCAAAAAATACATACATTACATTTATATAACTGCATCTTTTAAGTAGTATACACAAAAATTAATAAAATAGTGTAAAGTAAATGAATGGCATGTGAATTGGTCAAATGTGTTTTTTTTTTTTTTTTTTTCGAACAATTAAAAAATAACAATAATAATAATAAATCACAAAACTATATATATTTGACAGTAACGTGATTCTCACCCAACATCCGTTGACAAAAATTTTTGTGGCGTCCGCGATAGCTGAGGGAGCAATTTCTTCAAGGTTTTCCATGGACCACTCTTCCAAAAATTCTAAAATGGGAGAAGGCTGAGACCCAACTGAAATATAAGCCATGAGAGCAATGTTTTTAACTAGTCCAACAGCTGCACCTTCAGGCGTCTCAGCGGGACAAATCATTCCTAAAAACATAGAATGTGCATATATTATCTATACTAAATAGATAAATCTTGATAACAACTCGAAATTTAATATTAGTAATTACCCCAAAGAGTATTGTGAAGCTGACGAGGTTTAGCAAGTTTCCCATCTCGGCCTATAGGAGAGTTCACTCTTCGTAAATGACTTAATGTCGAAGCAAATGTGAGCCTGTTTAAAACCTGTGAAACCCCAGCTCTGGCTTGATGAGCTTTTTTTTGATCTCCCCAGTTTCCTGTTGCCAGTGAATAACGAAGACCATCAGTTATAATTTTGGTTTTAATGGCCAATTCTAAATTAAAATCTTTTCCCCTATCTATAAATTTTTGGGCGAACATTCTTACTTCCTTCATTAAGTTCTTAAAGAGGCTGAAACAATACAAATTATACACTTTCTCATTTTACAAATAACATAACATCCAAAAATAAATTTACATATTTAAAATATATAAGCATATTTACACAAACAAACATTGTACATAGGCATATGTGTGCGTGAGTGTTAATTTGAAAAAAAAAAAAAAAAAAGTAATGAAAGTCAACATACCCACGAAATAAAAAAGCAAGCAATGGTCCAGCCAAATCTAATCTTTTATTTCCGTAATGATCTCTGTCATCTAATTCTCTTCTTCCCAAAGCTGCCAGTAGTAATCTGTGAACCATATAACCTAAAACAAAAATTATGAACTTATTTAAACAAAATATTATTTTTACTATATAAAATTTATGAATTATTCGTTTATTCTGATTTAAAATAAAATTGAATAAATTTTTGTCAAAATCATTTTTACCTAAAAAATAAGCTTTTTTCGTTTCACAAAAATCAGATACTCCTACATGAGGCAACATTTCTTTTTGCAGAATTTCTTTAGCATATTTTATTCTTCTTTCTTTGGTAACTCCAGGCCTGGCTCCTCTGGCCCCAATAAAATTCAATGCTACATTTTGTTCCTGAATGACAAAAGCTTCATCAAGCGATGGCTTGACCTAAAAATTAAAATAGAGTTTCAAAATAATATACATGCATTTGTAAAAAAAAAAAAAATTAATATTAATAAAATTTCAAATTTTTATTTTTCCCATCATTAGAGAATTATTATTTTACTAAACATACATACCATTTCCATCATTTCTGGATCATCAAAATCATATATTATATGTTCTAAAATATCTCTATCGGCTACAAAACCTAGTGCCCTAAAAACTATCATTATGGGAATTTCCTGCTTAATATATGGTAAAATTGCTATTATTCTTTGCCCTATGGCTGATTTCTTAATACTCTGACCACCTCTAGCCATCATGTTTACCCATAACGTGGATGTTGGTCTAAAAAAAAAAAAAAATTATTTGCTATAAAATTAGATTCACTCAGATGTAAGTTTTTTTTTTTTTTTTTTTTTTTTTACCTTGACGAGTGCTCCAAGCAACTTCTTATTTCAGCTTTGTAAGCAAATTTTCCATCCTTCATACTGAAGACGTACACAGTGTTGGTTGCCATTTTTTCCTGGGCTATCAAAACTTTTTCAGATCCATTTATTATAAAATACCCTCCTGGATCTAAAGGACATTCATTTAACTCTGTTAGATCTCTGTCAGTTAAACCGCTTAAAAGACAGTAAGTTGATCTCAGCATTATAGGAATTTTTCCAATGAAACTTTTCTGATGTTTGGTCTCGATTGGATCCTCTCCTTCTTTGATTATTTTTTTTGTAATGTCTACATAGAGAGGAGCAGAATAAGTCAAATTTCTTAAACGAGCTTCATTGGGCATCATCGGACTAGGAGCTCCATCTTTTTCCCAATGAGTAGGCTTAGAAAGGTAAATTTGTTCAAATTTAAGTAAATAATGAGGAGGATTTTCAATTTCTCCAGATGCATGTTGCGCTTCTGCCTAAATGAATGTGAAATTAATAAAATAAAATAAAAAATTTTCCTTCACAGAATTTATTATTTAAAAGCAGATTCTTACTTGAAGATCAATGATAGGAGTATCCTCGACAATTCTCTGAACAGACATTTGAATAAATTCATCAAATGAGTCCAACTGTTGTCGAACCAAACCTTTTTCATCAAAATATGAGTTGATCACTATCCAGCAGGCTTCTTGCCATAGTTCGGATGAGATTTCTCCAGCATCTTCATCATTTTCATATTGGTCTGAAAGTAAATGAAAAGAAATTATTTCTTATGGGAACATTGTAAAATACAATCAATTAGATTTATTGTTAGGTTAAGTTAATTTAACCATCATCCTCTTAAGTGAAAATTTTGAAATTTTAAATTTTCTACAAACGGATAATTGATTTTTAATAAATTTAATTACCTTCTTCTTCATACATAATTTAAATAAAGAGCTTAAAATAAAAAAAAAAATTCTATGTCAACATAAGCGGCGTCACAATTTGTCGATGTGAAAGCTTTAAAATCGACATGGTAGATGGCAGTACATGCACATCCTTGTACGTTTTATATAAAATAGTTGGTTTAAAATGACCAAATAAATAATTAACAATTTTAAATTTTGTAACAAAAAGTTTACAAGGTAAAAAAAATAAATAAATAAATAAATAAAACCAAATTAAATTGCTACGACTCATTAATAACTTAGATAAATTCTTTTCGTATATAATTTTTTTTTTTTTTTTTTCTAACAAATCATTTAGCCATAATATACATAAGTAAAGTATTTTAAAAAAGTGATGAATTATTTTATGATTTACGACGCAGATAAATAAAATATACAAAATAAAAAAAAATATAATTTAAAATTCTTCACACGATATATATATATAAAGCATCAACATTTAAAAAAAAAAAAAAGAATAAACAATAATTACAATTGTAGTATTGTTGAAAAAGAGAAAAATATTAATAAATTCCTAAAATTCGTTTCACTCAATATTTATTTATTAACAAATTTGAGACGAATAAAAGAAAAAGGGATAAAAAGTTATTTATTAAATATAAATAAATACAAAGCAATAAAATTATTTATGAAAACTTTTGTAAGATTTCAAATTTATTGTAAAACGTTACAATAAAATAATAAATAAAATTAAAACATATTCGAAAATCATTTACATTTATATGTTGCTGAAATATATTATTATTATTATTATTTCGAAGGAAATGAAATCAATTTCGTGTAATTTATCGCAGGCAATTAAAAATTTTCTAGTTTTTTTAATTTTTAGCGTTAATCAACATTTTATCAATGGATCTCTAATAAAATAAATAAAATAATTAAATAAAAAGTCTAAATATATATAAATCATTGATGTTTTTTGAAGAAACCAAAGGAAAATCAGGTACCATACCTGAGTTTGATGATGAAATTTCCCTGAATAAATAATAAACGCTGAAAAAAAAAGCATGGATATAATATTTTTCATGTTTTTGAAGAAATAATAATTAAAAATTTTCACTTTTCGTTTATAAATGTTTTAAAAATGAAAGATGGTGGTAGATTTTGTTTTTTTTTTTTTTCTGTATGATAAAAATCACAGTAAGATAATATCGGGTGAGTCGTCGTCAAAATAAAAAAATATTAAAAAAAATTTTTTTTAAGGAAAAACAAAAGTTAAACAATTAAAATGTGCGTTGCATTTTTATTCTAAAAAAAAAAAACCTAAAATTAATATTAAAAATTTCGAATTTTTTTTCAAAAGTGTACTTATATGAGTACTTTATTATTTCCCTTAAATTACTTTTTAAAAAATTGCAACAAATTAAATATAATAAAAATTAATATTGGCAGCATCTCAAAGGAAAATTTAATTTAAAATAAAATCAATGATCTTGCTCAATGTAATTTACATTACGTAATAAACTGTGCAATATTTTTTAATCAAAGTGATTATTTTTTTTTTTTTTTTTAAATTTGAAAACGAATAATTTTTTTTTTTTTAAAGAAAATAAATAAATAATTTAATTCCTTGTTTTTTTTTTTTTTTTGTAATATAAATCTATCAATATTTATGTTAAGTGGTAAAAATGTGAGAAGTGATTCAATCATCAAAAGGTGAAAAAAGCTTTTAACTATATTTATTTAAAAACAAAAAATTAACCGTCAATTTTAAAAAATTTATTTTGTTTTTTTTTTTTTTTTTTTTTTTTTTTTTAAATTTAAGTGGTCGGTAAAAAAAATTAATATTGATATTTTTGTCATTTTTGTTAACGAATTATGAGGGATTGAAATAAAATAACTTCCCAATTCATGCTACACATTATCCCTTAAATTAAAAAAAAAAAAAAAAATTATGCATATTTATAAAGCATATTATAACGGTAAGAAAAAAAGAAAAATTCTCGTACGAAAAAAAAAAAAAAAAGAAAAAAATGAATGCATTAAGAGGTTGTTAACCATCCTGTTAAATGGAACTTATCATCGCATCCATTTTCTTTTAAGTATCATTTATTAACTACGACGTTAATTTTATATATATATAAACACAAAAGTTTCGAAAGAAAGAGAAAGAGAGAGAGAGAGAGAGAGAATTTAAAAAAAAAAAACATTTTTTTTTATTGGAGAAAAAGGGTCGTTTAAAAATGTTTACGGCTCGATCAACATAATAATAATAATAATAATAATAATAATGAAGGATTTCATCGGGTTTTTTTTTTTTATTATTAATAATTGAATGGTCGACACTTAAAAAACATTTGAAAATTATTATTATTATTATTATTTAAAATAAATTAAAATAATGAAAATGAGATTTTAAATATATATATATATATATAATTTAAGTGGCTGGGTTTTAATAAAAAATTAAACATTTGTTGTTCCAGAGTTTATATAGAGAGTTAAAGACTTATTTAGAAACATTAATGAGCCATAAAACGGTCGTAACGTAAACCTATTTTACGGTAATTTATTTAAAACGCTAAATTTACTTTTATTAATGCCCCCCCTCGGTTATGTTTTTCTTACGACATGGATTAAATAATGTAAATATATATATATTTTTTTCCCCTCTTTTTTTTGTTTAAATTTTTAAAAACAAAATTTCGTTTTTTTTTTTTCTCCCTTTTGAACAAAAAAAAAAAAAAAAAAAAAATCAATTTTTGCCGTAAATGACCCTTGTTGGCCTTTGCAAAAAAAAAAAAAAAAAAAAAAAAAATTATATATATTTAAACATTTTAAAAAAAAAAAAATATAATTCATAAGGGTCTTAATGAATTCGTACAAAATCAATGATGAAATATATATATGTGTATTTCTGACGAAATAAAATATTTAATATTAAATTTTCAAGCTTTAACTTTTAATGGAAGAATACGAAACTTATTCGGGGATGGGGGAAAAAAAAAATTTAACCTTTTGAAGAAAGTCGAAAGAACACTGTCATAAAACCATTATAAAATTTCTAAAAAGCAATAACGAATAATTACGTTCGTTATATATAAAACTCTTGTATTATTTCGCATTAAATAATAATATCAAAAAAAAAATAAAGGTACAAAATTAGTTTTAATATAAATAATGAAATCATGTAATTTTTTTTTTTTTTTTTGGTAAAGAGATCGATGAACGTTCTCAAAAAAAAAAAAAGAAATATAAACGACTCAAATGTTCTGTTGTTTACTCGAGAGAGAATCCCCCGTCCACTTATATAATTATTCAAAATGGAGTCATTTTTATGCGTAGGTAAGTCTAACATTTATGGTTAACAGCTTTATTTACATATAGAATTAAAAGAAAGAAACAAATAATTTTTGCTCCTCCTCCTCCTCCATTTAAAAAAAAAAAAAAAAAAGAAATCCCTCTTTTTTCATTCATCATCAAATTGTAATTGTTATTGTTAAACATTTCATTCTCTCGAGTATAAAATACTAAATAAATCCTTTACGAATAACAAACTAAAAAAATCAATAAAACAAAAAAATTATATATATTTATTATTTTATACGCACGCACACACATGAAGTAATAAAATACGTAATTAATAATAATAATTGAATTTGATACAATAAAATAAGACAATGGATACTACCTAATTTCATTCATTATTATTATTATTATTATTATTATTATTATTATTATTTAATTAAAGAGTTTTTTTAACGATGTATACATATGTATTTATGTATGAATATATTAAAAAATTTGAAAAATAAATTAACGAATGATTAACGTTTTCGTATGTAATTAAAGAAAAAATAAATTAAAATGCGATTTTAAAAAAGAATTGTAAAACGTCAAGAGAGAGAGAGAGAGAGAGAGAGAGGAGGAGAAAATAAATAACAAATTTTAAACATTGACTAACTTAAAATTTATTTTTATTTTAACTTTGTACAAAACTAATTGACCATGGCCACCATTGACTATAATCATAGTATTTTACTCAAAAATAACAATAATGCGTCCCTACTTCCTATTTATAATTTATAATAACAAAAACCAAACTTTTTATAAGAAAAATCAATTCAAAACGTTTAATAAAATAAAATAAATTCAAAAAACAAAATTATTAAATAGTTAATGCACGTAAACGTTTTTTTTTTTTTTTATTACTGAAAATTGAAAAAAAATTACTTTGATTAAAATCTAATATAACACGACGTCGTGAAAATCGTGTAAAACGATTTTCTATAAATTTCCTAAAGGATAAAGAGAATTTTTTTTCCCCCAAAAATTATATAAATGAAAATATGAATTGCAATGAAACGTTGTTTTTTTTTTTTTAAATTTGAAACTAAAATAAAAAAAAAAAAATCAATGAAATATTGATTCTGATATTATTTAATAAATAGATTATCAATCATCACGCCATGATTTCAAATTAATTAATTACTGAATGAGAAAGTAATGATTCGATTTATTTTTATTTTTTGATAAAAAAAAAGAAAAAAACAAGGCCACATTATCACTGACTGCATGCTGACCGTGCGACACGATAATTCGAGACCCAACATTTTCCAACTTTATCTTAAATAAACATTATTATTATTATTATTATTAAGCCTGAATTGCATTATTTAAAATAAATTAATTGCAGATTACACGATAACTTTAGCCCTTTTATTCTTACTTCTAAATTTTACCGAGCATTGTAAATAATTGTATTTTATATATAATATATTTTTATGTGTGTGTGCGCGCGCTCTCTCTCGCAAAAAAAAATTTTTTTCTACAATTAATATATATATAATTAATAGTGTAAAAAGATTAAGAGAATAATAATAATAATAATAATAATAATAATAATAATAATAATAATAATAAATTTAATGATTTCTTTGTATAAAAGTTTGCAAAGTTACAAAAATTTTTTTTTTGTTTTTTGATTTAAAAAAAAAAAGGCGGGAAGCGAACAATGCGTGAAGTTTATTTATT